ATTTTCTAGAACTGAATGCAATTAAAAAGAAAGCCAGAAGCTGACTTTGAGAAAAAAATAACATTTGTTAAGCTATCTGGCACAGTAAAATATTGATACTGTAAAGTGTTTTCGGAATAACAGGAAACGGAAATTCAAATGGCAAAAATTGATTAAATGACAATAAAGAGTGGAAAAGAAGCTTGTAGAAAGGGTTTTAGACCTATTTTTTGCTTCGCTTTAGGAGCTATATGATATTATGAGGAGAATAGTAATTGATCGCAATTGCTGGGCTTGATCAGGATCTCTTAGAAAACAAAATGTCATAAGATTCAAAATCGCCAAGTTGGGTCTTGGAATGCAAAAAAGTTGGCTAAGAAATTGTCGAACGGCTTTCCATATTAAATAGTAACATATATATAGCTTATAAGGTCGGAAATGTCTCTTCTATATGTTTTTAAACAAGATAAAGCTGACTATGAAGCTCTCCACAAGTTGCAGATATTTTCAACAATTAGTTCCATGCTCTCCAAATACAATAGTCTGATTAGGTAAGGCCCATTTCCACCGACTTATGTTCTGCTGTTCGTACTCTATTTGTGCTCAAAATCGAAATCTATTCTCTAAGAAACGTGTTTCTCTCGAATAACTTCTGGAGTATATTTGCTTTAGTTGTTAGTGCCTTGGCGTTGGATGCAGCTTCAGTCGCAGTCTGAGCATCTGTGGAATGTGCCTTAGCTGGCCTGGGAAATGGCGAAGCACAAACACTAACAGTAACAGAAGCAACCTATTGAAAATGAAATGCAGTCCAACAACATCGCACAACTGCAATTACTATAACGAAACATTTCCAAGGCGGCCGCAGCTCTTTTGTTACACCTTGTGGCAGGTGGCAGGTGGCAGGCAGACGGAAAGGCATCAGCATCCCACCTTATAAATGGTATGCCACCTTACCAACCTTATCAGCCACAGCCAGAGCCACAACATAATAAACACCAATAACAGCCACCGATGCAAATATTTACATGCGGCCAGAGATAAGCTCGGCCAGTTGGCGAGATAAGAGCTGCATGGCTGTAAGTCGCATAGATACACGTCAAAGAGAAAATATTTGGTAGACACAAAGAGATCTTTACCCGGAAGCATTCGATGGGTGTTGCAACGGCTAGTCAGCTACTTTTACTTAAAACTAGCTCAGTCGAGATGCATGAGATACGGTTTAATAATCAAGCACAGGTACACATACAGATACAGATACTGATACTGATACTGATACAAATACAGATACAGATACAGATACAGATACAGATACAGATACAGATACAGATACAGATACAGATACAGATACAGATACAGATACAGATACAGATACAGATACAGATACAGATACAGATACAGATACAGATACAGATACAGATACAGATACAGATACAGATACAGATACAGATACAGATACAGATACAGATACAGATACAGATACAGATACAGATACAGATACAGATACAGATACAGATACAGATACAGATACAGATACAGATACAGATACAAATACAGATGCAGATATAGATATAGATATAGATATAGATATAGATATAGATATATATAGATATAGATATAGATATAGATATAGATACAGATACAGATACATATATAGATATAGATATAGATATAGAAATAGATATAGATATAGATATAGATATAGATATAGATATAGATATAGATATAGATATAGATATAGATATAGATATAGATATAGATATAGATATAGATATAGATACAGATACAGATACAGATACAGATACAGATACAGATACAGATACAGATACAGATACAGATACAGATACAGATACAGATACAGATACAGATACAGATACAGATACAGATACAGATACAGATACAGATACAGATACAGATACAGATACAGATACAGATACAGATACAGATACAGATACAGATACAGATACAGATACAGATACAGATACAGATACAGATACAGATACAGATACAGATACAGATACAGATACAGATACAGATACAGATACAGATGCAGATGCAGATGCAGATGCAGATGCAGATGCAGATGCAGATGCAGATGCAGATGCAGATGCAGATATAGATATAGATATAGATATAGATATAGATATAGATATAGATATAGATATAGATATAGATATAGATATAGATACAGATACAGATACAGATACATCTACAGATACTGATACAGATACTGATACAGATACAGATACAGATACAGATACAGATACAGATACAGATACAGATACAGATACAGATACAGATACAGATACCGATACTGATACTGATACTGATACAGATACAGATACACATACAGATGTAGATACAGCTACAGATACACATACAGATGTAGATACATCTGCAGATACTGATACAGTTACAGATACAGATAGCGACACACGCCCCAAATAAAGCGACATGCGTCGCGCTAAGCGCTCACGATCCGAGCGCTAATTCAAACAAATTGCAGCATAAATGCATTATAAAAGGCAGAGGAGCAAACACGACCGACTTCGGGCGACAGGGCGACAGTGTGACAGTGTGACAGTATTAAAGGCGGCGGGTTCTCGAATATATCGCATAGAGAATGCATATGATAAATCACACGGAAGGCTAGTTTCAACATTCAGCTGCTGCGAATGTGGGCACAGTGCACAGTGGTCGTAAATTGTAAATTATGAAAAGATCAACTCTTTAATTGTAATCGAAGAAGATGACACGTTAACGTAAATAACTTTTTTATTAGCTTATTTATTTAAACCTTGCCTTAGCAGATTAACCTATATTTCAGATTATTTTTCAAGTTAAACGATTTTTAGTTTTTCAAAATATGTTTAGGTAGATTGTGTCGCACCTACACAAGTACACAGTCAATAGTACGATGGGGTTAATGATTCGAAGTCATCTTCTTGCCCATCTTTTAAGGCGGGCCGAGAGGCGTGCCAAGTACACAATAGATCTTCCAGCATAGGACAAAAATGGGACGATACTTTATAAATAATAAAATGTACTTTATCTTTCCAAAAAAACACCCTTCTTATAGGGTAGCGTTTCTATAGCATGATATCTCAAGGTATTCAAAATAGTACAGTATTCGTGGATTCTATCCGCTTTTTCCGGATTTCCATACTCGAATTCAGCTTTATAATATTTAATGTTATCTTCTTTACGATATTTTAGTTTATTTCTTTTTGCAAATACGACAAAGTTGGTCACATTTATTTAACCACACAGAGTCTTCCAGCTAATAGACAATTTAAACCAAAAAAAGAATGTATATGGAATATTTGTCATGGATAAATGCATTTTCGACTTGCTTTTGGTTTGCTGACTAATGCATTATAAGAAAAACCTACATATATTAAAGAAAAAAATCGGTTTCTAAATAGATCATTTTAGTTTGGCTTGCGGCTAAAATATTTTGACGTCAGCCTCAAATCATTTGCGTTAGTTACGCTTTAATTCACATTCAGAGTTCATTTGCCGCTCCATTTTGTCGAGCTGCCTTTTCCATTTTCCATTTTCAAGCATTAATGATGATGAGCATCGCCTATCACCCACTGTGCTGCGACTGCGACTGCAGTAGACAGACGAGCAGCAAGTGCTTTGTTGTTGTTGTTGTTGTTGTTGTTGCTGCTGCTGCAGCTAATTTGATTAATGATAAGCCGAGCTTAACTGACGACGATTGTGATTCATTATGTGCGCACAGCCAGCACACTTAGCGCAAAAGATATAGATACAGATACATACGCAGTTGCAGATACATATACGCATTCGCAGTATCCAGTTGCAGTTGCGAATCGCATTTAATAGATTGCTGTTGCCGACTCGAGTGCCCCGAGACACAGAGCATTATTTTATTAGCCTGACAACATGTGTCCGTTGTTTGGGCAATTGGAACAGTGGCTGGGCTCTTTATGCTTCTGCTTCCAATTGGAATATTCGTGCTGTGCTTTCGTTATCTATGAGATACAATTTAGTTGGCAATGCGGCAAGTGCGCTGATTACATGCAATGAGCCATTTCCTTTGTTCGACTCTCTCTCTCTCTCTCTTTCTCTCTCTTGCCTGGCACGCTAATGCCATAGAGGAATCCGTTGTTGCAGCTATATGCTATATATCCATAGACCCCGTCACAGCCGTTAACCACTTGGCTGGCGATCGCCCCATTTGGGTCAGAACAAAACAGAGCTGGCCACTTGCAGTGGAAAATGTGAGCAGATCATTGAATGAAAATGCGGTCAGAGCGTATTCAGGATTCTTTTGTCTTCCCCAAATAGACCGCATACAAATTCATGTATTTCCAATATTTTTGCAAGTCATTAGTTTTTATACCCATTGAAAATGGCTAAAAGGGGTATAATGTATTTGTGCAAAAGTATGTTACAAGCAGAAGGAAAAATCTCCGACCCCATAAAGTATATAAATTCTTGATCAGCAATAGCAATAGCCAAGTCGATCTAGCGATAATCGATAGCTTGCTCCGTTGGCAAGCAATCGATTAAAATCGATATCGAAATACTGTTTTGGGAGTAAATCTTTTATGCTTTAAGAGCTAGAGTAAAGTTTGACATGTAGCTTACAGATAAGTATATACATATCAAGTATCTTTCATTTTATAGCCAAGTCGATCTAGCGATAATCGATAGCTTGCTCCGTTGCCGAGCAATCGATTAAAATCGATATCGAAATACTGAATTGTGCGTTCTTTTATGTTTTAAGAGCTAGAGTAAAGTTTGACATGTAGCTTATAGAATAGTATCTTTTATCTAGAATAGTATATACATATCAAGTATCTTTCATTTTATAGCTATCGAAGAGGGTTCAGGGTATCCTCTAGTCGGAAACTCCCGACTAGAGCATCTTTTTTAAAATTAATCAATTTCATATTCATGCAATAAAAAACGTACAGAATTTATATATGGGAACTTATGGGAACTTCAATTAGTAATAAACACAAAAAAGAAAAAAAGCTATTTTAAAATCAATATTTGTTGAGCGGATGTATGATGTATGAAAATATCGAAACTTTCATACAGACAATGACAATATTTATTCTTAACCATTTTCCAAAGCATATGAAATTGGTGAGTTAATTAAATAAATTAATTAACTATTGTTAATTTTGTCTACTATATTGCTGTTGTGTTGTTTGTGTTATTTGGTTTTGTTCCCTGTTTCGTTTACATTTATTTTTGGAGTTTTGGTGCTTTTGGTTCTTTGCTGTTGTTAAGTGTTGGAAGCAAGTGGAATTAAGTTATTGGGCCAACAAAATAATCTATGCTTTGTTGCTGTGGAACATGAGAACGTGCGTGTTGTTGTGTTTACATGGATTGCGAGTGGAAGTTAGTTGGCTTTTTGGCGCTCCTTTCGATCCTTTTCGATTTGCTTTAGCTGCTCTTGTCTGGCCTTTTCCTTTTCCTTTTTGATTTTGTCGCGTTCCTTTTCTTTCTCCTCGAGGCGCTTCATTTCCTCCTTTTCCCAGCTCTCGAACTCTTCGCGCTCCTGTGTCAGCTGGACAAGCTCAGCCATTTCACCATCGTCGACGCCCTCATCCATATCCTTTTGCATTAGCTCCACCTCACGGGCCATGGCATCCTTGGCCTTGCGACGTCGAATTTTCAGTTCCTTGGCCTCGACCAAATCCTGATGAAGCTGCTCGCGCTCCTCCTTCTCCTCCTGCCGGCGCTGCTCCTCCACCTCAAACTCCTCCATCTCGTCCTCGGTGTACGGATAGTCGGGCACATTGGCAAACAGAGGCATATTATCCGAGGTCGCGACCAGGACAATGCTGCCAACCAAGGCCAATATTCCGCTCAGCATAACCATATTGTACTTGGAGTTCTTGGCGGACCATGCCTGCATAAAGTCGCCCTCCGGCTTGGGCAGATCGCTGAACACGGCATGTGTTCCGCCGCTGGGAAAGTAGCCGGGCTTCAACTTCGGCGGCTCCGGTGCCGGACAAGTGGATGCCGCCGACTTGGTCGGTGTCTTGCCGGCCATTTGTCGCGTTATGTTCACAAAACCGTTCAATCGATTGGTGCGTACTGCAGTTGGGATTGTTGCACCCGGATGTGGTTAGCATACAAATTTTGAAATAGCTCGCGAAAATAATAATGGATAATACTTACTCTCACGGGACAGCCGCGATGGGGCGGCCATCAGAAGTCTGGACATATTTGTTCTGTCCCCTCGACGACTTTTGATTGTTAAGCGTAGAATTTGATTATTATTATTATTATGGGTGTGACTGACAAAAATATAGTTGTCCGGGTTTGACAAAAATTTTCTCAAAAGCTGCTTCGTTTTCTGGTTTTCTTTTCGAAATATCTCGATATGTTGTTGTTTTGTTTTGCTTCTGTGAAAACATGTCGTATGTATTGAAAAGCATTGCACAAAATATGAAAACTCTGAATGTACTCACAATATCGAATGCGAGTTCTCTTCTAATTTCCACACTACAGGAATCAATTCGAATCCAAGGTATATGCAACTTGTATGGCTCTCAAAGTTGCGAAATTGTGCATAAAATCGATACTAATACAACGTGATTTTCCAATTTTTTATTCAAAAGCTCCACGTTCTTGATTCCTTAGCATTTTCGGCAGACGGACTACTTGGTTACAATTATATTTGGTGTCAGTTTGAATGAAAACGAAAAGATAAAACGTTTGTCTAAAACAAAGATGATGTATAGACAAATTCGCGACTCAATACTTTGTCTATTTTCATAAGATATACCTTTAATATAAAATTGGTAAATATATTTCAATATACCAAAGCAAAGCCTTTAATTTTGAGTGCGAATGGCAAACAGTGAAGTATACTTAATATGTTTAAAGTCTAGTTTAATAAGATATACCTTAAATATTAAAACAAGTAAGAGGTTCTAGTCGGGAGCTCCTGACTAGGGGATGCCCTGCAACCTCTTCTTCCGACAGTCGATAGATACAAAATGAAAGATACTTGATAGATATATATATTATTCTAGAAGCTAAATGTCAAGTTTGGTGATTCTAGCTCATATAATTTGCCGAAATTGCTCAAAAAACAGGATTTCGATATCGATTTTAAACGATTACTTGGAAACGGGGAATGTTATCGAATATCGGAAAAAGCTCGATCTGCGCGGGCACTAGGAAACCCTACAGCCAAAATTGGAAGTCTCTAGCTCTTATAGGTTATGAGATCCCTGCGTTCATACATACGGACGGACAGACAGGCGGACGGACGGACAGACGGACATGGCTAGATCGACTCGGCTATTGATGCTGATCAAGAATATATATACTTTATGGGGTCGGAGATGCTTCTTTCTGCCTGTTACATACATTTGCACAAACACATAATACCCATTTTCAGGGTATAAAAATGAGAAATCTCTGCAAGATAAATATATTTCAATATATTAAAACAGCCTTCAATTTTGTGTGTGAATGGGAGACAGTGCATTTTTCTTAATATGTTTAAAGTACACGAGAACATACACACAAATCTGGTTCAAGTAATGTTCGATTTAAATCAAAAACACTTTGATATATAAATATATTCTTCCAGCTCTAAATGATCGACAGACATGACCAAATATATACTTTCTTCCGACTTAAGCAAATTACTATTATTATTCATTTGAAATACACTTTAAATAGAACTTTTCTTGAATATACTAAAACGTGTTATAGCTGGGCAACAGCTGGGGAAAAGCTTTAGTGAAATGTTCCATAGAGCTGGACAAGCTCATTTATTTGACCCCGAGCCCGTGCACAGAACATGTTTCTGGTAAACGTACGACAAATTTGAAACAAACTCCATTTGGAGTGATAACAAAGAAAGAATAACTGGCCGAGAACAACTAGTAAAACGTGTACAATAATTTACACAACGGTTTACAGAACTTATCTCTAAAAGATAGCTCAGCAGAGCAGCCCCAGAGACCGAGAGACGAGACTGGGCCCAGACTAATTAGCATGTTGGAGAGCATCGAAAAATTTCATGGAAATTTATGACGCCCAAAGTACAAATCCACAAAGGTGTCACGTGCGGTGCCAAGCAACAAGAAACTTGTCAAAATTGTTAGTTGAAGCGAATGCATAATAAAGACTCGACAAACGGACGGACGGACGGAAGGAGGGACGGACGGACGGACGGACAGGCAAAAGTAGTTCGTCGTAGCTTAACCAGATAAAGAAGCTAAAGAGAAGCTAATCACGTCAGTCGAGAATGCGGTCAACAAACTTGTTTCCCTGCTGCAGTTGACTCTCTAACTGAAGTGGGCGTGGACGTAGGCGTGGGCGTGGGCGTAGACGTGGGTGAGGAAGTGGGTGAGGGTGTGGATGTGGGCGCTGTTGTGGAAGAAAGGTGAAAATAACTTGATCGCAAAGTTGAGTGCTGTGGCATTGCTTTATGACGTCTACAAAATATATATATGTATATAGTATATGCATTTGCAGAGTATCAGGCTTTCCGCTTGTGATGTTGATTCGGATTCCTTGTCGCAGCTAGCCGCCTATTCCTTAAACAAAAACAGATGTAGGAGATGAACGCAAAGCAAGCATAGAGTACGGCCGTAACATAGCAGCGTATGGCGAGCTCCCCGAAGGCGCGATCAGCCTCAGTTCGGAACTCCTTTAAGCTATTGTAGTGATCCTTCAGCGGCAGAGACTTTAGAAAGGCCAACGAGTGCATCGAGTAGGACATTCCCATCAGCAGCAGCTGGAAAATGGCCCAGATGCTGATGAACAGGCACAGCAGTGAGCACTTCTTTCCGCAAACGCAAGGCATTCCAGACGTGTTCCTTCTTTCCTCTTGCCAAACATCAAAGTTGATTAAGTGTAAAGGTTTTGTATTAATATCGATACTTCGTGTGACGGCTAAAGCAAATCAGAGTCAGAGACAGTTGCGAGAACCACATGAAATGAAAAGTTGGTTTCGTAGCTCACATCTAACCTTGTGCGAATTTAATGACATTAGATCTCGCCGGCCAGATTGTGAAGTTCATGTGCCCCAGCAACTGCAATCGCACCGGCACCTGCAACGAGTACTTCGAGTACATACACACATCAACTTTGCCACTCGCTTTCGGTTGCGGTTGCGGTTGCGTTTGCGTTTGACGCTTCGGTTTGTTTCGGGTTGTTCAACCCGAACACACACACACTTTGAACGAATACTGAATTGGTTTCCAATTCTGGAGACTCCAACAGTTGTCTGACAGCTATTAGTGGCAGTTCAGTTCAGTTAAAAGTGCCAAGAGTGCAGACCTCACAAATTGATTAATATCTTTGCTGAGTACTTTACACTTTTTTCAATTATAGGCTGTTATTTCAAATTACTTTTGACTTATTAAAATAATTTTAAAGTTTGCAATAAATGACTGCTCCCAAAATTAGATAAGCCCTACTAGACATTATTTCCGATAAAAAAAAAAAACAGGATGAATGCTTTTTAAGAAATTTACAACTATGCTTATGTACCGACTTTGTATTTGTAATTTCGGGGGTTAAAATATTGACTTCCAGTTATAGTTTAGAAACTAAAGACAAGAGATCTATTAAAGCTCTATTAATCTGAAAGTTGAGATCGAAATTTATACACGCTCTTTTCTTCAATATTATAAGCATTATTGCCCCATGACTTAATGTTAAATTGTCTATGAAAAAAAAAAACACACATTAAAAAAGTCAAATATTACTATAGGAAATTATTGAATGTTGCTTTTCCCTTAGAGCTATTTAGAAATGGATATTTTCCTAGAGAGAGCTATATACATATGGAACTATTCCTAGAGAGAGCTTTCTTTGTATGGAACTATTCTTAACAACTAGAATATTATTGGGTAACATTAAAAAAGAACTCACCCTTTTCCAAGCAGCGCATAAAATGGAGCTTCGCTACCAAAATCTCCAAAACGGGTAGCAAAGCAAAAAACGGCAATCAAAAAAAAATTTTGTTTTTTTTTGCAAAGTGCCTCAAAAATCCGTTACAAACATAAAGTTGTGAAAATTCGTAAGTCGTTTTTGCAGTTGCTAAGCCTTTTTTTTTTTAAGTTTTTTTGTGTTTATATTGTTGTTGTTGTTTTTCTTTTTGTTGTTTTTGTTTACAGCACGTTTTATGTTGTCGTTAGTTTTATGGGTCGCAAAGCTTTAGACTGTTTTTTTTTGCTGAAATGCGTAAAAGCTTCAATTAGCAAAAGCCATTAATCGGTTATATTGAACACTCTAGAGCTTGGTTTCAGAATAGTTCGACTTGGGGAGAGGGAAGCTTTTACATATAAAACAAGTTAACAAAAAAAATACAAATCTTTTTAGAGAATGAGCAACATTACTTTATAATTTATATCTATGCATAAATACATATATACACCATGGACATTTTTTCTTTTGTGCTCAAATATTATACCTATACTATACTTTTATTTAAGTTGTTTTTGGTAAAAATATTATCGACTTCCTTATTTAACATTACTTGCTCATTTTCTAAGAAAAAGTCTGCGGCTATTACTCATATAAACGAACCCAAGTCAGAGGTTCTAGTCGGGAGCTCCCGACTAGGGGATACCCTGAACCCTCTTCTTCCAACAGGCGATAGGTATAAAATGAAAGATACTATTCTAGAAGCTACATGTCAAGTTTGGTGACTCTTGCTCATATTATTTGCCGAAATTGCCCAAAAAACAGGATTTCGATATCGATTTTGATCGATTGATTGGAAACGGGGCAAGTTATCGAATATCGGAAACAAATTCAATCTGCGCGAGCACTAGGAAACCCTACAGCCAAAATTTCAAGTCTCTAGCTCTTATAGGTTCTGAGATCCTTGCGTTCATACATACATGGCTAGATCGACTCGGCTGTTAATCGGCTGTTAATAATTATCGGCAATTGCAGACTGAAAGCCTTTTTCATAATGCACAAATGGAGGTCAAGTCAGATATGGCAGAAACCACCCAAAACCTTGACATTAGGGCACTTGGATTCGAACTTGGCGGGTCGTTTCTCATTTTACATGACTCGTAATCACATATCAATCAAAAGCCAGCCGCAGTTATTGGAGGACAACCACTAAAAGGTATTTTATTGCATAACATGCATTCTTTTCGCTCATGTTTCACAAACGATTATTGTTGTTGTTGTTGTTGTTGTTGTTGTTGTTGTTATTAATGTACCTTCACATTCAGCTCGTTGTGTGGTTATTTATGAAATATGCAACAGATATTTATATGCGCTTTTGGTATAACAATAACTTTTCAATTATTTATACATTTATTGACATGAGACTCGATTCTCTGCAGTTGTTGACTTCTGGCGTCTGGTTTGGCTCCTTGGCTCAGTTATCGGTCGGCGTCTTTCGAGAAATTCCGCCAGAGTCGACGAATTATCAAAACAAATAATTCTGTTAGCCCGCAAAAGACTGCACTTTCAGCACTTTTTATTTATTATTATTATTTTGCTTTCAACGAAATAGCAGAAAATGCACATCAAGTTATTTTTATTTATTTTTTTTTTTATTTTATTGTATTTTCTGATAAGATGCCACTGTTGCTCATGTTGCTTTAGTTGTTGTTGTGGTTGTTGTTGTTGTTGTCATTTGCTTGTTGCTGCTTCTTTCATTTGTTTCGCATTCTGTTACTGAAACACTTGTTGAAACGCACACACACACACACACAAACACACGAGAGCGCGCACGACTTTGAATCAGAGCTTGGCGTAGGTACCGTATTGAAGCAGACTGGCTGCACAAGAGCCAAGCAAAACACGAAATTGAACCAGAAGCAGAGAGAGATACCGAAACGAAGCGCGACACAACCAACTTGCTCCACGTTCGCTGCTGGAATAAAACTAGTGAGCGCAAAACATTGGAGAGACTTCAATGTTGTTTGGCGCTTGCATGTTGGCGAGGTATTTGGAGTTCTGGACTTCACAATTAGCTGACCAGCTGCGATTTCAAGAATATCTATTACAAGAATTGGAATATAATATTAATTATATGCTAAAGCCACAGTTATATTTTTTAAAATTATTAATAATAATAATTTTAAAATCATTAAAAAAGACTTGTTAATATATTTTTTTTTAAATATATTTTTTTTATTTTGTCCTAATTGCTGGCAAACCAGCATACAAAATAGTTTAATTTCAAAAATTTAATCTATAAATGTTTTATTCAACTAACTGTTAGAAATTATTTTTTTTATGTATTTACAGGCCGCTGTTAACTTAACATTTTGCGCTAAGTAAAAATTGATTTTGCGCTCAGAGAGCAACATGCTTATGCTCAACAAGTGTGCGTCGCCTGACACGAAGCTACCTGCTGTGACACGCTCACATAAAATGTTATTACCATGCTAAGGCTAGAAATAAAGCAATATATACAAAAACTCAAAATTTCTAAAAAAACAAAAAAAATGTGATGACAAAAATTAATTTGCTGCTAGACCGATTACACATTACAAATCCAAAAGAAATTTAAATATACATCAAGTACTTCTAACCCCCAAAATTATATTTTGCAGAGATATTAGAAATAGGTTTGAAGCCGTTCTAATGAAGAAGCAAAATTTGGAAACGGAGTGCTTCGACCTCAAAAATCATTGAAAACTCTTTTTCATTTTGATTTAATGTAGATTTAATGTATAATTTTATTTTATTTTTAAAAGTCTTTCAACGTCTCCGTTGCCTTATGCGCCTTTTGTGTGTTTTTTGTGAACTTAATTAATTTTGGATTTTGTTGAATTAGGTTTTGTGTAGCTAATGCATCAGGCGCCGCCCTAGAGGGGGCGTGGTTATTAGTGTTGCGGGGGAGTATTTGGGCAAAGGATCTGTTTCTTAGACTCCTGATAGGATGGGCACCTTGAAGGTTGCTTGTCTTAAGCTGTTATTGGACTGTGAAAGAGTATCACGCAGTCGGTTTATTACCTCTGAACTCGATTTACGTCCCTAGAACGCCAGGGATTGGATATTGTATATATGCCTACATATAAAAAATTTATTTATTGAACCTAAAAATGAAGTGAGGAAAATGAATTTTCACCATAACTTGATTTTACATATATTTAAGTTGTAGGCGGCTAATTGTCCATATTTAATTTGTTGACGGGTCTTGCCACAGATTTCCTGTTTGCCAAATTAACCAAGCAATTAAAGCTCAGCTTTTACGGCAAATTAATCGGTAGTGCTTGAAGCTATTTTGCGATCATTAAAAGCAGAACTGTGTCCGCTAATTTTGGCCGACAACACCAAGCAGCTAGCCAAAGCCATAAAACAGGTGTGATCGAACAATGGGCAGCAGTTACGCCCATTGCTGGTTAGCATGAATTACTTTTTGATTTCTGGCCATATTTGCAACAGCCATTTGCATAAATAGCCAACTTATGGGCCATTTAGCTGGCAAAATAAATATATATATGTATGTATATGTGAGATGTGATCTTCTTAAAGGGCGCAGCTGTTGGCGGATTTCCGCTCCCAAGCTACTTGAATTTCCAGCCACCCAAAAGCCATGTCCCATGATTAGAGCCTCGAGTGGCGGTTGTCGTCTTAAGGCCAAAGCTGGTCATTTGATACAGCCGCTGAAATGTGCAGGAGGAGACGCATAAGCACTCCGGCGATTAGCATGTTAAACAGCGGCTGCTTAAAGGCTATAATTAAGCGACATAAACTTGGGTATTAGGCGCTAAATACACACACACACACACAGACGCACACAGACGCACGCGCACAGACGCACGCATGCACACGCACACACAGACGCATGCACACTCACACCAAAAAGCTTTTGCTCGAGGTGCAGACAGCAGTGGAAGTGTGCGGCTGGTGGGAGAGGGGAAATTTGAGAAAACGGGGGCCCCGCTCATGATTTGCATAACTGTTTGGCTGGGGCACACGCACTCGACGTCTCGATCTCTGAGTCTGGCCCATGAGCCTGGGTTGCATTCGAAACAGACGGTTGGTAAACGAAAACGGAGACAAACAGACACACACACGCGCACACACACACACACACACAGACAGAAAGACGTAGTGCAACACACTGACATGCACCTGTCCACATACGCGACACGTCGGGCTTTCATTTGCTGCCTAAGAAAGAGTAAACAGCCCCAGAGTCGCGTATTCTATTAATACACTTTGCCGGCGGCAAGTTTTTGGGCATTCCAAATTTTTGAATGCAAGCAGATCAGGTTGTCTGTGCACCTACATTTTGTATTTAAATTTTATTTAACAATTTAATTTTTTTTTATTTTTCTGCTCGATTAGTTCTTTTCTAATAAATAAGCATTTCGTATTAGAATCCAATCAGATCCGTTTTTAGCAAGGATTCGAACCCTACAAAGAGAAAGGTGGTTTGCCATGTCAAAGGACCAAGGTTCGAGCCTTGTCTCTGACATTTTTTTAAAATGTTCAATTAAACAATATCAACATTTTTCAATTTTTTTTTATTTTGAATAGCTCATTATTGTAAGAAATGTTTTTTAGGGTATTCGAGCAGTCGACATATGGAGAACAACTTGCTTTTCCTTTCTTATTGTTGTTTTTTTATTTATTTATTTTTGTTACACACAAAAGAATTTCCATCAATAATGTCAATACTATTGCAACAACAACAACAACAACAAACAGCTCGCGACACTCCTTTTGACTGAGTCTTTGGCCTGGGCCTGGGCCTGGGCCTGAGGGTTCTGTTTCTGTTTGGCTGCCATCGTCAACGATGGGGCCAACGCCACGGTGTTGGCCAAGACGAATTATGACCACAAAAGCTGCTTGGGGTTTTAAGTTATTAGGTAACTTCAACTTCCAACTGTACACACACACGCATTATTAAATACACCTAAGCACATACATACATATACAAGTATGTGCGTTGTTTTATAGTGGCAACAGATTCTGCACCAGTTCTTGGCAGCCTTCAACTCAACTCTATTTTTAAAACGTTAAAATCAATATTCCAGGCTTTCCCTTCAATCTCACATCCTTCAATTGTTGCGAGAGCCGCGTCTAAAAATGTTTTTTAAGGTCAGTGCACATCCACCTGGCTGGAGCTGTTGGCAAACGACCCGGCGAATCTGAGGGCCATCCCCTTTTCAAATTTCACACCAACTCAAATTGAACTGTGGGTGTGCGGGGGTGTGTGCGGGGGTGCGGGGGTACTTGGCAAACGCTTTGATCTAAATTTAAATATAGCAATTTACTGTAGAATGCAATTTAGAGACAGTTTTGCGACGACATATCAAAATGAAATGGGGATCCCGAATATTGTAAAGTCTCTCTATATAAAACTGTTTGTCTTGACTGACTGACTGACTGACTGACTGACTGACTGACTGATTGACTGATTGAGTGACTGACTGATTGGTGAACAACGCTCAAGCTACAAATTTAGATTAGATGATGTTAGGCAAAGCCCGGTTGGGTCATCAGGGGTTATCGCGGACAATGGGATCAAAAGCGGCTTGTTTGCATAAGGCTGTCGGAGGACTCTAAGGCGGCTACAGAGGAGTCGTATTTGCAAAAGGTCCTGAAACGATCTTGATTTGAGACTCCTGTTCTTGTTTTATTTAACAATATACTAAAGAGGTTGCGCGCTTTTTGACGTAAGTCGTAATACGTGTTAAACGAAATTTAATTATTTTTAATTCGAGTCTACTTATATTTTAATGTTCGCCTAAAAGTCTGCCACATTTTTTTTAATATCTACGTGCACATGCTCAACAAAGCAGATGATTAAATTAAATAATTTATTAGCATATTTATAAAAGTCAGAGGCTGAAAACAACCTTTAAAGTTTTTTTTAATATTATTATTTTATTTCAAATTCGGTAAAATGTATTTGATTTAATTGCTCTCTTCTTTATTCCTCTCTTATACTGCTGCATTTTTGTGAACATCCGAAAAGTATGCAATACTTTTGAGATTTTAAGAATTCAAACCAGCTGCAAATATAAATTTTGCTGTGTACTTTTTTATTTTAAATCTGGCATTGCATTTTTCTTAATCTTTTACCGGTTTAGTATAATAAAACTAGAATTCAGTCCCCAAAAATATTGAAAAATGTTAAACTTGAACTTGGGTTTAATTTATGTAATATTCTGGTGTGCTATCTAACCGAAAGTAGAAATAACATTATCTTGGACAATAATTTAGGTAAACGGGCATTTACTTTTTAATTCTTGCTCAGTATTACTAGTCGATTCGACAGATCCATGTCCGTCCGTCTATTCCTAGTCTCTCAGTTTTAAGGATTTTGTCGTGAAGAATTCTACAGATTGTACCTGATGCAGGCAGCAGATAGTCTCGAAGGGTATAAAAACTTCGGCCTGGCAAAGATCACCTTTCCTTCTTGATAAACTATAGAAAAATCATTCTAAGGTTGGGGTTATGAATATTTTCGTGATCGTTCAAATTAAACATAGAAAGATTTCAACTAAATTTCTTTTGAGAGATCTGTTGAATAATGCAATATTATAATGGGATTAGGTAGGAATGAGGTAGACAATCGATTATATCAATGGGCAGAAAAACTTCGATGAGGTCTACTTGGCAAAAAGTCACTAACAAACATGTGATAAAACTGTGCTAAAATCTACAAATAAATTTAGTTGCCCTAGATCTTATAGTACCTAAGACTCTTGATGTTGTCGATCAAAAGGAAATAGGAAATTGACTTTTGCCAAGACATGTGGAGGTGTTGAAGAAAGTAGGGGAAGCAGGGGAACGTCGCTTTGGGCTTAAAGGTGATTTAGGAGATTCGATGTATGCTTTAAATATGACATTTAACCCAAGAGCCCAACACACTTATTAAAGATATACAATTTTTGGGCAAAGCAGTCTTTCGCTTGCCAAAAAATGAATTCCCAAAACTGGCCGGCCGGCACTATTGACCCACTTTGGCCAGGTAGTAGCAGTCTACGCATTGAGAAGCCAAGACCATCATCAGCTCACGATGGAAACTATCACTGGGACTGGGACCAGTCACGGATTGCCAAATGCAAACAGCCGCCGCTCGAATCGTCGATGTCTTTGGCAACACTTTTTTGACTTTGTCGCGTTTTTTATTTGTTTGCCAGCTGCAGTTAACCAATTAACAGTTTTGCCAGCAGCAGCAGCAGCTCCATTTCATTGATTCATTCATTAATTCTTGCAGCCAGCAAATGTCATAAATGCTACGCGCGTTTTTATTGCAAACGGCGAAAATATAATTGTGGCTAGCTCGCAAGATGAGAGATGGCTTGTATACCCTGTAGCTATTGAAATGGCCTAAACAGGGTATAACACAAAATGTACTTATCCTTGATCTGTATAAACAGCCTGGTCGATCTAGTCTAGGATTTGGGCAACCAATTTAACAGGAAGTTTCTTGTGCTTATCTTAAACAGACTTAGTTCAAGTTATCTATCTATATCTATCTATCTAATAATAATCTATCTCCCATCCTTCCAACGAAATCGATAATCTTCAATTTGTATCCCTTGAGAGATATATTTATACCTCGACTTATTTATGAAATATATAAAATAATAGCCAGGTCTATCTGTCTTCTCTGCAAAATAATCCCTCAATTTAAAGACCAGCAGCAGGCAATGCCATAGGATCGACCAAAATTTAAGTTAAAAAATGTTTGTTGCAATTTCGAGTTGGATAGAGTTGAAATTTTAATCATATCTGCTTGGTTTTAAGATATTCTTTTCCTGTCCAAACTCAAAGAGTTTCAAAGTCGTAATTGGATAAAAGAAAAGCACGAACTTTAAAGTAAAGTATAAAATATTAAATAAACTTTTAAATATTTATCTTACTTCAACTCCATTTCATGCAGCAAATTATCAAGCCAACAACTTGTGTGAATTATTCAAGTTTTAAGTTGTTATTAGATAAAAAAAATATTAAAATAATAATAAAAATTAAAAAAAAAATCCTATACACAGGATAAATTGATGTTTGACCAACATGAAAAAACAAAATACTTTACTTACCAATTTTAAATGTGATCCTGATATAAATTGATTGATTTTTATTGCCATCCACATTTCCAGGAGATCGTGAGGTCCGGCAGACACTAAACGGAATTCTAATCGATATTTACGAGAGCTGTTTTGTTTAATCAACTGAGCGTCATTTTTGGACATTGTCGCGTCAGATTTCCAGCTTCTCAGCTTTGTGGCTTTGCAATTCAAATTCAGTGCTGCGTTAATTAATTGAATTCGAGTGAGTCGAAAATACGCATACGCAGCGTGGAACATGCGCATTCGATGCATTTTGTGAAAAATTCATGGCATTCGCCGGCAAAACAAACCACAAAAAAAAATAAAAAAAAAAAAAAAATTCTTCGCATTGGGCAATGACAAACCAAAAAGCGCGGCTGCGCCTTGGATTTGCTTTTCATGCAATGGTTAATTAGGCTTCAACGTCGTGCTCGTAGTATTCGTCGTCTGAGTCTGAGTCGGAGTCTAAATCTAAAGCATTTTGCACTAATTTGGTGCGCGCGCCGCCCGATTGCCAAATGCGTCGTTTTGTTAGCTCTAAATAAAGCAACTGGGAGACGCCTTATGGTGCGCCTGTTGTTGACTGGCAATGGGCAATTTGGCATCTGATTTTACAACCCTTCTCTGGCCAGTTGACTGACCAGTTGGCATAAATTAAAACTAAAAGCGGGCGAAAAATATAGAACTGCAAAACAGGCGATGGGACTATCGATGTATTTGGTGTTTTGAGAACTATCGATGATTTTTTTGGAACCATCGATATTTTCGGGGTTTTCCCACCACAAATAAAATAATTTTAAATGGATTAATTTTTATTTTGGCTTTCTTGGAAAAAAAAAAATCTCAAAAATTCCAATCAACACGGTCGGATGCGGAAAGCCGCAAGACCTGAAGACATCATTTGTATTGGAAATAATAAATTCGATACAATCGACGTTTTGCTTAAAAGCAATCGAAAACATCGGTGGTATCAGATATCGATGTTTTTCCAGCTCTAGGAAAATAGTCACCCACTTTTCGCACGCGGCAGTTGAAAGCAATTTTCACGCTGTCCAAAACTGGGGCAGGCATAAAATCTTTTATTTATAAACTTTAAAAACAGGCGTACAGGCATTGGTCACAGTCTGGTACTCACAATTGTTATATTGACTTAATATTTGCTAATAGATTTCACATAAATCACATTCTTCTGGCATGATTTATGCATGAACTGCGAGCACAGGTGTCTATCTGTCTCATGGTGTTGCCCATGCCACTCGCGAGGAGGCTTCAGGTTCAGCTTCGGCTTCAGCTCGAGTGCCGCAGCCAAATAACTGCTGCGTCACCATCGCAGCTCGACCTAACACATGTGCGCCATAGCGGGTCGATTTGCCCAGTCTTTTTTATTTTTATCTCCCGATTTTAACTGCAACATCTTCATATTATTTAAACAATTAAAATGTGATTGTTGCTCTAAAGACATTAAAAAGACAAAGCACAGTTGCATAGTCAGGTCCGTCATGTATCAATTTCAGTGATGCCAGATCGATTTAAAAAACAAAGGAAGAAAAATTAAAGTTCGGTTCAATTATCAAGCAAGCCCAGCTTAAAATAGAAACATATCAATTTAAAGTCGTTTTTAAACTTCATCGGAAGTAGACTGGATGCAAACCATTCACCAGATTCATGAGTGCAGGCTCTGAGTCAGCTTTTGTGCGGCCCACAAGGGTTAAGCGCGGCAGACAAAGTCCCACGAGCTGCCAGCATGCTATGCTCGGTACTCCATATGTTTTGAGACCAAAAGTGTCCGGCGTGGCCGGGCAACTTTGTAAAATGCAATAATAACAACAACTCGAATAAGAAAAATCACAATTTTTTAGCATTTTGGCAAACACACTCAAATATGGTCAAATGTGGCACGCAGCGGCATTTTGGCCCGACGCAGAAATCCATAAAGATTGTTTAGAAATTTGTTGTTTTTATTTTATTTTTTTTTTGTGATCATTATTTCGAAGCAATGATAATTATGCAATTGTTGGCCGTGTCAAATTGCCGGCGTTTTTCAACAGCGCCTGGCGGGGCACAGCTGAGAACAATTAGACGACATTCTCGCCTGGATTCCACACATACATATGTACATACATAACATATGTATGTATGCCAATCGTAGGCTAATTACGTGGTTAGCCACAAGGTTAGCAAGAGGTTGGCAAGACGCAACCGATTTGGTAAGAAGCAAACAATTAGAATTCGCAATGAATGCGGCTTTCTAAATAGAAATCCCGAGCGACTGCCAAACTCTCAACCAGGCTGAAACCCCCCCTCCCCCATCCGCCCGCCCGCCGCCCACCACCTGCTACCAAGTGACGACAAGTGGTCTGCCTTGCCAGCCAATCGAAGCGGACCAGAGCCGTTGCGTCATCATCAGCAGCAGCAGCAACAACAAGAATCCCAGTCGCATTCAGACGTCGTTGTCGCTGTCGTTGTCTACTTCAAAGATACTTCACAAATTGGTGCTGTTTGGCCCGCTTTGTTGACGCTGAACGACGAGATCGAAATCGAAATCGCTGGCCTAGCCTGGCCTGGCCTGGCTATCTAGCTAGTCATCTGTCCGCTGTCCGTGTCCGACAAGCGTCGACTGCGTGCCTTGTTGCAGTATAAAAGTAACTGAGTGCACGCAATGAATTTACAGTTGCAGTTCTCAGTTAAAAGCTTAAACATGAAACTTCTGGTGAGTTGGTTGGATCTGTCCGTGTGTATCCTTGCTAATATTGTGCTTCTGACAGATTCTAACCACTTTGTTGGCCGCCGCCAGCGCTGCACCCGGTTTGCTGGACTACGGTTTGGGACATACGGCCCCAGCTATTAGCTACGGTCACGCGGAGCCCGCCATAACTTATGCACATGCTGCGCCCGCCATCAGCTACGCACATGCTGCGCCCGCCATCAGCTACGCACATGCTGCGCCTGCTGTGACCTATGCCGCAGCTGCTCCAGTGATTAAGTCTTATGCGCCTGCCATCAGCTATGCGGCTCCGACGGTGGTCAAGTCCTATGCACCCGCCATCAGCTACGCTGCACCTGCTCCGGTGATCAAGTCGTATGCGCCAGCCATCAGTTATTCGGCTCCGACGGTCCTCAAGTCATATGCAGCACCATCATATGCCGTCGCAGCTCCAGTGGTCAAAGCCGTCGCTGCTCCGGCCACCAGTTACTCACACTTCAGTTCGGTAAGATTGATTGTGGAATCAGTAAACCAAACTGACGAGCAGATGATTTCTATTTAATTTAACATTGCTTAACCTCCTTCCTTTCGGCAGGTTGTTTCCCACTCCACGCCCATCATCAAGTCATACGCAGCTGCGCCCATAGTTAAGTCCTATGCCGCACCAGCTATCAGCTACGCCGCGCCAACTGTTGTTAAGTCCTATGCCGCCCCAGCGATCAGTTACCAGCCCACTCTTTTGAAATCCTATGCCGCTGCGCCAGCTCTGTCATACGGCGGATACGATGATCATGGCTATGGCTATCACTAAGAAGCACTGCATCCGGCACGAAACATGAGCAGGGATGGCCAGAGTGAGGCATAGGAGTAAGCGGAATAAATAGATTCAATGCGATAGAGATAGAAGGACGGAGAGAGAGAGAGAGAGAGAGAGAGAGAAAGGGAGGAGTTGGCAGCCGCACGTTTTCCAAAACTTTTTATTTTTTAACACATTACCATATTTCGTATATTCTGTATTTATTTAAGGCTCAATCACTGCAAATAAAGAAAAATTACATTTTTCAAATGCTCCTTTTGTTATATTTCACCCGATAATTCCAAAATAGGAATATTATACAAATACTTGAAAAGATTATAGACGGATGGTTAAGATTTTTGAGATTGGAAACGTGAACCGAACCATAGAAACTTTTTTTTTTAGTTGCAATTTACTTGAGAGTGGGAAAGAGAAGAGATTTTTTTTAAACATTTTAACAATGCCATATTTTGTTTTGCTAATCTGTATTCATTTAAGCCCTTAAATGATTTAGGGCCATTTTTCATTTTAAATACTGTACAGATCTCTTACATTTAATACGATAAAGCAAATATTGACTCCAATAAAGCTAGCATTGTTCAAAATCTTTGCAAGTTGGCGCCACGGCTGCTCCTGAATATCACAGTACGCCGTAGCCTGTGGGCAAGATAATTTAGATGATTTTTAATGGAAATGGAACGCATGTGTTTAAATCTTACATCAGAGAATCGGAGTCCTAAAATTAAACGCAGTGGAGTGGAGTTTATTACGGCCAAGAGCCAAGCAGGCGCCTTGGCCCGGGGTGGATAGCATTCCAGCCACATGATGGCGACGTGCAGCAAATAACAATATATGGAAATCCTCATAATGTGCTGATAGACCGACACTGAATCGATAGGTAAATGCAACAAGTTGTCAATGGCAATCATAGCAAAAAACTCACTCAAGGGCGGCACATAGTGCGGCGAGGCGTGGCGGGTGAGGTACATCAGACCCCAGGCCGTAAGCAGCAGGACAATGAGTACGAGGGCGCCGCGTCGATAGCCGCGCAACAGAAATGAAAGCGCTAAAAGAATCTCAGTTACTGCCAAAAGAAAACGGTTATTCGGTCTTTGGAATAAGAGAAATAAAATCAACTAAATAATTACCAAAGAGCGGCATGACGAAGACAAGTCTGTAAAATTCGCTATTCCGCTGCAACGTAAATCCAATGGCCACATCGCCGGACATTGTCTGAAGCAAGCCCTTGGGCGTGTAGCGGAAAGTCGTGGCATTCTCCACATGCGTGACGGCAATTTCCACAAATGTCCAGCCGGATGGCGTGTTAACGTGCTCGTTGGGCGCCAGCGGCTTCTGTCGATTGTCGTAGGTTAAAGCTATGTTGGCCTGATTCTGATCTACGCCCAGTTGAATGTCGCAATTGATACGCTCGTTGGGCCAATTGCGCGCCGTGTCCACACACCACGTTGTCAGTTCCCAGTTGCTGGCTAAAAGGCTGACATTGCCATTGCTATAAACGCGCAGCTCAAAGCTTTTCAGCGCCACACCCAACGACTCCAAGGCGCCACTGTAAAAAATTTTAAAAAAGAGTATTACAATTTTGCCAAGAAAAGTGTAAGCTGTACAAACTAGACTCAATGCTACGAGCCTGACTTTGGTAAGATAAACATATGCAAGAGTTTTTCTTACAAAAATATAACTTTCTATAGCGATATGCAAAGTTTTAAGACGATAGATTTGGTTCCTTCTAAGCTAAGCGTAATTCATGGCAAAGTTATTAAATCTAGTGCATGGACATAAAAGGCTCAGTCAATTATTCTGCTCGATCTCACAGCTTTGCCTGCGTGGATTATTAACTAGGCAGTTTGTCATTGAATATACAATTGTTTTAATGTTAGGCTTAAATATGAAGGATTCGCATTTACTTACTTGAGTACCACAATCTGAGGTGTCCATATTTGCAATTGGGGATGCTTCAAGGATGTCAATCGCCCATAGCTCTCAGGCTGCCAGCGCAGTCGGGCATCTTGCCAATGCATCATGAGCTGCATGCGCGCCCGCAACAAGGCACTGGACTGATCGTAGGATAGGGAGCGCATTTGAAAATTGAATTGAATCTCACTGAGATTGCCGGGGAGGCTGCTATTCTGAGCCTGGTAAATAAGTTCACCCAGCAATCGCTCTTCGTTTGATTGCTGTCGCTGTTGTTGCTCCATTTCATTGCCTAGGGAATAATAACAACGAAATAAAAAATCCATTCTTCTACCAAAAAAACACTTACGGTATCCATCAAAGGCGCAGTCGTAGAACCAACGTGCGCTGTTCGATCCGAATGTGCTGAAGCTTATGTAGTTTATGTTGAGCGCAGAGGCGTCGAGGAAATGCAGCAGTGGCTCCTTCTTGAAGCCGGGAATGTAAACGTACAGGTCGCCATCTGCGGATTGCATTCTATTATGAAAAGTCAATTCAATTTAAAATCATTTTAGCTGCGTCTAACCTTTCGTTTGCACGATTTCAATGGGCGTTGGCTCGTATACCGAAAGCAGTTGCGGATCTTGATTCGTGGAGACGCGCCGCAAGCCCATGCTTGTGCGAATAGTGGAAAACGTATTTCCGCCGGCCCCTATCACTGTGAGGGAGATCTATTTGAGCAAAATACAATGGGCTGGTATCTCAATAAAAGGCTTACCGATCTCATATACGCGATCATTGGGACGGGGCCGGTTTGTTACCGACAGTAAAATATGCGCATCCATGCTAGTCAGCACGTAAAATTTGAGATGCAGCCGCTCATTTGACTTGACATTGTTGTTGTCCAAAGTGTGCACCATGAAAAAATCCTTGTATGCATAGCCACTTGACGCATCAATGTCGATGCTATCGCATGTATCCAACTGCGCAAAACTGATATTGTAACGGCCCTTCGCTATGACCGGACGCTGTGCCAACACCAGATACAACAAACTGCTGATAAGCCATTTTGCGGATACAATCATTTCACCCGATGTGCTCAGTATTCGTTATAGTCCCAAAGGCAACTGAAAACTGTAACGTACGCGCCTTTGTCATCGTAATCGAGGGCCAAAGGCAACGATTACATTTTATCGAAATGTCTTAAGTATCGAATCCAAGCAACGATGACAAAACTTAGTATTTTTTTTAAACGCTTTTAGAGGCGGTAACTTCCATTGCGTATTCTAAATGTTTAAGTGAACCGAATATGAAAAGCTTTTTATGCTTTTGAATATGAAATATTGCCACTATACACATAATATGTGTTTATAAATTGGAAACATTTCTTCTCCAACAGCTCAACAGATTTGATTATTAATAATATATAAATGGATCTAGATGTACGTATTTTATTTAAGCTCAAAAAAGTTGCATTAGAGATATTTACTAGGCACTGCAGCCTGACAGCTTTGCGGGTAATAAAAGCTGATTGTGCAAAGCTGCAACGCCAAGTAAGCACCCTAATTAAAACATTGAACTGGTTTCTTCAAAAGGTACGTGAACCTAATCGAAAATCGGACTTGTGATATATCGATATATATTCATCATCCCTAAAGTATCGATACGATAGACTATCTGTCGAATTACTTCAGTTTAATTTTCATTTAAATTCAACATTGTTTTATTTGGCAATTAAGCGACACAAAGGCTATCCGCTGTAGCTGCTCAATTGGCCATGCAGGACGACACGCAAGATGCCAAAGCGCAGAAACTGGCCGCGGCGCGTAAAAAGGTAAAAGTTAAATTGAAAAACATCGTGACGTGGACACCAACACTCTGCCTTGTATTGATTTTGATGATTGTTTTAGCTGAAAGAGTATCAGCAGCGCAACAACAACAACAATGAGGAAAACGTTGGTACTAACACCAATTCGTCGACAGTGAGCATAGCCAGCAATTTGTCGGAACGTTCCGACTGTGAGTTAATCTCAAGCAATGGCGGCGGAGCGCAGCACACGCTGGAGCAGCACACAACGCCAGCCCCATCCGGAGTAGCTGCATATTTTTCACAACAGACAGCACCGCTTATAGAACCGGAACCAAGCCTAGCACAATCTTTTTGGCCCCACAACGGGCAAGGCGATACCAATTTGCAAACAATTCAAGTGTTGATTGCTGAAAAAGCTCAGTTGAATACGGAGTTGACTAAGTGCCGGCATGTGTGCCGCGAGCGAGAACTGGAACTTGAGGAGCTACGCACAGAGCATGGCCAGACTACGCAACGGTTGGAGCAAATGCAGCAGCATTGTCAGGATCAGCAACGCGGCGCCGAGCAGCAGCGCAATCAAAACGCTGAACTTCAGCACAAAATAGCATTAGCGAATGCCGAAATCGAGGATAAAAATGCGCATCTGAGCGAGCTTGAAGCCCAACTCCTGCAGCTAAAAGCTCACCAGGACGAACTACAACAGCAGCACGCAGACAAGTGCAATGAGCTTGATATGGCACAATTGCGTATACGTCAGCTTTCCGACGAGTCCAACGTCAATGCGGACAATCGCGTAGAGACGCTCACCCAAACACAGTATATGTACGAGCAGCAAATACGCGATTTGCAACAGATGGTAACACAGCTGACGCAGGACAAAGAACAAGCAGCGGTCCAGTATCAGAACTATGTGGCGAACCTTAAGGAACGCAATGTCGAACTTGTGGAAGAGACTGCAGAACTAAAGGAGCGCGAGCGCCAGCTCGTGGAGCATGTAAGCGGCTTGGAACGTGATATCCAAAAAAATTTGGCTCTGCAAGCTCAATACAAGGAGGCAGCCAACAACCAATCCCAGCAATCGCAAGAACAGTCGGAGGTGAGTGCTCTACTTGGACTCAAGATTATAATAAACACACAATTTCTTTGTAGACGGCCTTGCAAGCTGAGCTGACAGCGCTAAAAGAGCGGATCAGCGACTTTGAATTTGAGCGACACGAGTTCCAGTTAAAAATCAAGTCACAGGATGATCAATTGCAAGCAAAGGAGAACAAACTCGCAGAACTGGAAGAGGAGTTGCATCGACTGCAACATGATCAGCCGGATCAGATCAAGCTACTGGCCACCATGGAATCCGATAAAGTGGCGGCATCGCGAGCACTTAGCCAAAACATGGACATGAAACAACAACTAGATGAGCTGCAGGTACGTTTTGTGCAGCTCACGAACGACAAATTGGATTTGGTCAATAAACTAGATGCCGAGGAGTTTGCCAATCGTGAAATGCGCCAAAACTATGCAAATATGGAGCGAAAGTTGCAGACCAACGAAGAACGTTTTAAATTCAAAGACGACGAGATGATACGACTCTCGCATGAGAATGTCGAACTTCAGCGCACGCAGCTTATGCTGCAACAGCAGCTGGATCGCCTTCAGCACTATGAAGTAAGTGAATGGCAGTTGAAGGCAGCCGTATAAACAATAAATCATGCATTATTTACAGGCCAAGGTTTATCACAGCCACGATCTAAAAGAAACGTCATCTGCTGAAACTGAAACAGCAGAAGGCGCTGTTGAGGTGCAGGAGCACGATCCTCAACATAATCACGAAGAGGATCACCATCACCACCATCCAGAACATTTCCACGGCGATCACTCGTCCACTTGCGAGACACCGTTGCTCCCCACCGCAGAGGCCGTGGAGAAGCTTCAGTCTCGCTTCACCACACTCATCAGCCAAGTTGCGGATCTGACCGAGGAGAAGCACAGCCTGGAACATCTTGTGTTGCAGTTGCAAAGCGAAACAGAAACCATAGGCGAATACATTGCCCTCTATCAGACACAACGTCGAATGCTGAAGCAGCGCGAGTATGAGAAAGCCGCGCAGATGCGATTGCTCAAAGCAGAGCGTGAACAGTTGCGAGAAAAGATTGACGCGCTTAACAAGCTCGTGGGAAGCTTGGGCTTGGCCGTTGAGCTGCCAGCGGAACAGCTCCAGCCAGCAACAGATAGTAACGCCGCATCGGACCAGCCGCAGTTACCTTCAAGCGAAAACGTAACAGAGAATGAAAACTCTCAACAGATACTACACAAAATACAGGACATTATAACAGAGATCAAAGTAAATACAGAACAGTCGCCAACCTCCTTGTCCAACGTAGCACAGCCTGGCCATGCCGTGGATCATTTGAACTGCTGCCTGGGCAAATTTGAGGTTGTGTGAACCAAACAACGAAAATGCAAATGTGAACATATTGTATTTAAAGTGCAATTATTTGTCAGCGTAATCGCGTTTTTGCTTTCACCGGCCTCTGTAGTTTATACACAACTCTTTTGTATATGTTTCAAGAATATCAAATAATCAAACTAATTGGGGCTTACCATAGCTCTAAAAATAAAATATATTTAAAATTTATGTGGTTACAAATGTTTAATATATAGCAATTTGTGATATTTGCTTACAAACTTTATATTAGTTAATTTCAGTGTTTTTATCTATGTTTGTAAAATCAGGATTAACCGATAAAGATTAATATAAATCTTAACTATGTGTGAACCTATTTATATCTCTATCGTTCTATATCTTTGAGAGGGAAACAGGCTCGAATCCCAGGCTAGTTTACGGATGCAGTATTATTTTTACTGATAACTATATCCTATACTAAATATATAAAATTGCTATTAATGTTTGATAAACAAGAAGAATTGAACTTCGGGCCTATAGTGATCCGGTATGTACTGACGACTCACCTCGTCGTCCCACTCGAAAACATACTTGGCGTAATAGCTCAAAAGCAAAGGTATAATTTGAATAGAAGATAAGTCGATAGACTTATCTGCTCGAGAATATTTAGACGTCAACAATTTAAGCATACTCTTCATGGATAACAATCCAAATCACATCAATTTATGACATACTTTTAGAGTGAATGTAACATTTCTGAATGACCTACAATAAAAACAGACTTTATTTACTTTGTGATTCATTTCGCATTTTGGAGTTTAAATTGGGTTCCTTAAGCGACTTGGGCCGACAGCTACGGCTGGGGCGACTAGACATCGAGCCGTCAGTACTAGATGGCTCCGCCCTGCTGTTTGCGCTTTTTGTGCGTTTCACTTTCGCCTTTGCAGAGGTAGGTTTCCAATTGGTGGTCAAAGTTTCTTGGCCTCGCCGCGGTGTGCTGCTATCGCATGGTCGATCAGCAATTCCGTTGAAACTACTAAAGTTTAATTGACTACGGCGTGGCGTTAGTGCTGGCCCCGCATTTGGAGAGCCGCACTGAATTATCACATGCATCGATGAATTCGTTTGGGCAGCCAGTCTTACATGTTCTATACTTGGCTCCTGACTGTCGCTCTTAGTGTCATTTTTGTGGACACGCGATGATCTACAGTGCGCTTTTGTAATCTTTTGGCTAGCTGGCAGAGAACTTTGCTGGAAATCACATTTTGCATGCTCTATGCTTAGATCTTTCATAGTGTTCTCAGTCTCATCTTGAGTAGATGACTGTATACAATGTGCTTTTGTGATCTTTAGATTGGGAATCAGACCCTCTGTTTTGTTGGTCACATCACGCAGAGGCAACGGGGACATCTCCATGCTGCTGCTCGAGGCACGTAGTTTCTGTGTCTCATGCAATTTAAGTGACGAGGATAAAGTATTATCCTCACTATCGCTCTCTTCAATAATAGAATACATATCAGCGACTGGTGTTGGAGACACCAGTAACTGGTCTGGTGAAGCAGCAGCTGTTGGAACTGCTTCTTGGAAATCGGGCGAGTCCATGTTTGCCTGCAGCTCAACCAAGTGCCGTGGCTCTGGTGTTTTCCTGAAGATTACCAATGTTTCTTTCTAAAACAGACAGTTGAATGTTACTTCAGAAAATGTTGAGCTCACCCAGCTACTTACTACAGGACTAGACTCCTTGATTTCCTCATCCCGCGAGCTATTATGGCTTATGACACTACAAGAACTTAGACTCCGACTCCGACTCCGTCTTGTAGGTGATACGGCCAGACTTCTTTGAAGTAGGGCGCTGGAACGGCGCAACACTGAGCAGGCTTGGCTACTACTGTAATGACTATGCCTAACATTATCCGATGCCTCTGAAGTCCGCGTTGTAGGATAATCACTGTTTCCATCCAAGTTCACATCTAGGGAGTGTAGCAACGTTCTGAGTGCGCACTTCAGTTTATTTTCGTTAAGCTGTGCGTCGGCCAAACGCATTTCACGCTCTTCCAGCAACTGTCTTTTGAGTAATATCTCGGCCTTACGCATTTCTCCAATAGCTATTCGCTGCTTTTGCACCTGATCCATCAATTCAGCGTTTATTAATTTGTACTGCTCCATTATGCCATTAAAATAAATATACAGCTCCACGGAAAGACAATTTGAGTTTGGCGTTGATGCCTAAAATGGCATCGATTATTACGCAAAAGTACTTATCGGTTATATCGATAGCCGACATTGTTATAAAAGCGATAATTAATTCGAACCACTGTCGGTTATTTCTCTGTAATATGTATACACAATGTGTATTATTGACTCAGTAATTACAATAATGATAATTCCACTTAATAACAACTTAAAAACGTAGGTGGCTGTCAAATGACATAAACTATGACCGTTTTAAAATATAGTTTCAAGTTCCATAATTATTTCAAATATTCTTTTGGTATACAGCTGTTGTGCCACTTTTTGCAAACTTTAATTCTTATTAATATTTCGTGATGCCTTCTTATTAATAAAAAAAAAAACAAATGAAGACAATATCGATAAGTAATATAATAATAAATATCGTACACATTCGATTGCACATTTGTGTACTTTTGTGTAATAATCGATGCCACATTAAGCATCGACGCCAAACTCAAAATAGTCTTTGCCTGGCGCTGTGTGTTTATATTGATGGGATAATGGAGCAGTACAAATTAATAAACGCGGAATTGATGGATCAGGTGCAAAAGCAGCGAATAGCCATTGGAGAAATGCGAAAGGCCGAGGTATTACTCCAAAGGCAGTTGCTAGAAGAACGTGAAATGCGTTTGGCCGACGCGCAGCTTTTCGAAAATAAACTGAAGTGCGCACTGAGGACGTTCATCCACTCCTTAGATGTGAACTTGAATGGCAACAGTGATTATCCTAGATCGCGAACTTCAGTGGCATCGGATAATGTTAGGCATAGTCATTACAGTAGTAGCCAAGCCTGCTCAGTGTTGCGCCGTTCCAGCGCCCTACTTCAAAGAAGTCTGGCCGTATCACCTACAAGACGGAGTCGGAGTCGGAGTCTAAGTTCTTGTAGTGTCATAAGCCATAATAGCTCGCGGGATGAGGAAATCAAGGAGTCTAGTCCTGTAGTAAGTAGCTGGGTGAGCTCAACATTTTCTGAAGTAACATTCAACTGTCTGTTTTAGAAAGAAACATTGGTAATCTTCAGGAAAACACCAGAGCCACGGCACTTGGTTGAGCTGCAGGCAAACATGGACTCGCCTGATATCCAAGAAGCAGTTCCAACAGCTGCTGCTTCACCAGACCAGTTACTGGTGTCTCCAACACCAGTCGCTGATATGTATTCTATTATTGAAGAGAGCGATAGTGAGGATAACACTTTATCCTCTTCACTTAAATTGCATGAGACACAGAAACTACGTGCCTCGAGCAGCAGCATGGAGATGTCCCCGTTGCCTCTGCGTGATGTGACCAACAAAACAGAGGGTCTGATTCCCAATCTAAAGATCACAAAAGCACATTGTATACCGTCATCCACTCAAGATGAGACTGAGAACACTATGAAAGATCCAAGCATAGAGCATGCAAAATGTGATTTCCAGCAAAGTTCTCTGCCAGCTAGCCAAAAGATTACAAAAGCGCACTGTAGATCATCGCGTGTCCACAAAAATGACACTAAGAGCGACAGTCAGGAGCCAAGTATAGAACATGTAAGACTGGCTGCCCAAACGAATTCATCGATGCATGTGATAATTCAGTGCGGCTCTCCAAATGCGGGGCCAGCACTAACGCCACGCCGTAGTCAATTAAACTTTAGTAGTTTCAACGGAATTGCTGATCGACCGTGCGATAGCAGCACACCGCGGCGAGGCCAAGAAACGTTGACCACCAATTGGAAACCTGCCTCTGCAAAGGCGAAAGTGAAACGCACAAAAAGCGCAAACAGCAGGGCGGAGCAATCTAGTACTGACGGCTCGATGTCTAGTCGCCCTAGCCGTAGCTGTCGGCCCAAGTCGCTTAAGGAACCCAAATTAAATTCCAAAATGCGAAATGAGTCACTAACCAAAGAATAGTTTAATATTGCATATACATGTTTTTTGTCTGTTTCTTGTCAAACCTGAAAAAATATATATGCTCTAATCGCTATTTATAGAAGTTGCAATGTTAAGATCTGTCCGAAAGTAGTGATTTGCCGTAAAGCTAAGATATTCAAAAACGTGAGTTCAGTTGTGAGCATTATACGCCCCTTAGGGATCCATCGCCAGGAAGATAGCGTAACGGGTTTTAAAGCGATTTACAAATATAAAATATATTGAATGGGAAATTGTGTGTCTAGGATTAAAAGTGTTTTGGTAATATAAAAAAAAAAACATTTTGTAAATAATATATCAAGTTTTTTTCCACCCATTTCAAATGGCATTTAGGTATATATGAATGTGTACAGGGTCGATTAGATAAATAACAAAAATTAAAGTAAATAATAAAAAAAGAAATAAATAGGCATAATACTTTTATTTTAAACTAGTAAGTATATTGTTATGGGAGAGCCTCTATGTAATATAAGTATTTTGCTTGAGATGCGCAATTTGCTGGTTTCCAACACTTATTCAAGACAGCTAAAAATAATCGCGCAAAACCACAGCCTATCGATATCAGTCGTACCGCCGCCACAGCCTTCAGTGTTACATGGTTGTATTTGCTAATTATCTATCCTGCCTTCTATATTCGCCTGCAAAAACAAATGCAAAGCAACAACACTAGCAGAATTGCGATATTCAGCAACCGGCCAAACATTAAAAATGCATAAAAAGCGTAAAACTAAATCAACTTAATGGCATACAATGCAAAGTGCGCTTAATTGTTAATGCAGCGGACAGAGAAAGCACAAATCTCTTAGTCCCAAGTTGCTCGTGTGTGTATGCGCTTGTGTGTGTGTATGTGTCTATTAATCAAACTTAGTTTCTACGTTTTTATTTGGCACATTTACTAGGAAATTTTATTTACATTTACATTTTTATATAAATCGGACCTATTAAATTTATACAGTGGATATCGGACAAGCAAAACAACTTCTTAAATTGCTGACCGCACAACCAGCCCTCGCCCACCTGCGATAAAAACATTCGGGCAATGCATGCGTCTGCTACGTTGTTGTTTCATTGCGCCGCAATTGTTTAATTTTAAGCTTCTTTGTTTGCGTTAATAGAAATTTAAGATCGAAAGTGACGCAAAATCTAAACGTCAAGTGCAAGTGAAGGCTTTCGCCTCGCGCTTATAACACCAACGACATCGAGAATAATCGCTGCAACAACAACGAATCAGCTGTCAAACAGCTTCAAGGTAAGTTTGTTTGTAAATTAACCTGTTTTAAGAGTATTTTTTATGTGCTCAGACTTTAAGCAAATAAGTAAGAAAAAAGTCTCAGGTGATATCGATAACTGATTGCCTGGCTTCCTTTACAGCTTATCGATAGCTTTTGACTTGTCTACCATTTCGTCTTCACCTGTTTTCCGAGACATGGTATATAGATAACTAAATATGTATGATATATGGATGTAGGCTAGGAACACCATATGTTATGTAAATCTTTCCAAATCAACAAAATAGTGAGTTCATTATGTATGCCAAGTGCTAGATGCGATAGGAACAATGCAAATTGATCGTTGCTGTTTCTGGGCAGTTTGTCGCTCCGATATCTTATCTGTAACTGGACGGTAATATATGTACATACATATGTACATGTGTATGTGTGTATGTGCCTAATATTTTTTACATACACATGCAAACATTTCAACTAGGCGTATCAGTTCAAGAGTTTTTTTTTACATACATACAATGTTTACCCAGTTGCCAATATAATAGATATTTTTTAATATTCTTCAACATTTGACTTAGAATAATGAGACTTCCAAAATTTAACATTTTTGGTGAGAGTTTCTTCTTTATGATCAGTTTAGTTAACATGCACACCCTGAACGATTCAAAAAGTTTCGTATTAGTAGTGATAATTAAGATTTAAATGCTTTTAACTTAATGTGTTTCCCAATTGCAGGGCACAATAACGAATCTGTAATTTGCCGGTACGATCAGCCGGTTAGCCCGTAATAAGTTGTGGTGCAATAAACTTGCTTTGATTTTTATCAGTTCCTCTGTCATTTTGCCATTTGTCATTTTGTTTTAATCACATTAGGCAAAACGTTGCACGCGTCGCATGACGAAAGCAGCACCTGCAACAACAACAACAACAACTACAACAAGAGCGACAAAAACAAATCGGCCCAGCACTGACCTACAAAGAGTGCAATGCGCCCCGCCACTGGCAAATTGCTATTGCCTTCGTGTAGGGGTTGATTTTAAGTTGGGCTAGGCGCGAAAATACTCGCACAGAAGTAAATACATATGATGAGAGCATTGAACCGAACCTGCCGCTAAAAACATGAACAATATAACACTCGAAAGAATCCGTCAACAGTTATGTGTGTGTATGTGTGTGTGTGTGTGTGTGTGTACATACTTTCGTAGCTCTAAAGAATAATTAGCATGTCAACTTTTCTCTAGACACCCACGTTATAAATAGAGGTCTTATATTCTACAAGCAACGTTCCGATATTTATTACAAGTTGATATAGATAAAGCTGCAGATTACTTTAAATCCAAAAGAAACCGCATAACGCTGACCTATTTAGAAGGCACTGCTTGCATTTATTGAACTCTATAGCCAGGTATTTTCTTCGTGCTTCTTCTTACTAGAATTACTGGAATATAGTATGACACTTTTTTTTGTCAGTCTCAGTATTTATGTATAACTCATTTCCATTTAGATAAATTATTTTGTTATATAATGCCACTGCGAAAACTGCAGACATACTCGAGTTCAATGTCATTCAGGCGCCCAATCCATGGTAGGGGGGGGGGGGGGGGGGGAGGGGAGGTCTTTTGTGGCCATGCAAGGAACGTCAACATTTTCTATTGTTTGAAATCCGTTACTCTCACCCGCTACTCTCCCGCACACATGCACAATAAACACACTTAGCAAAAGAGACCGAGATGGCGTGCCTGCAGTTTTGACAATGGTATTCAGATTGCAACCTTGTAAGCGGCCATTCGTTAAGTGTTGTAAAACACGAAAATGCAATACTTTTCGAGCTGCCGTTAAGTTTCATTGGCACGACTGCTACTTATGATTTATGCTGCCAAATATGCATTTCCTTATGCGAAACGAACTGCTCTGAATCATTAAAAAGCCCTCGTACAAACTTACAAAAATAGTGTAAATCGAAGTTGAGATACCCTGCGAGGATGACAAAGCCTAGAACGAAGTTTGATAATGATGACCTACCCTGGAATGCGGGAATGACATTGCCTAGAATGTTGTATGATAATGTATACTCTGAAATGCGAGAATGACATTGCCTAGAATGATGTATGATAATGAATACCCTGGAATGCGAGAGTGATATAGTTAGAATGTTGTATGATAATGTTGACATACCCTGAAATGCGAGAATGACATTGCCTAGAATGATGTATGATAAAGTATTAAAAATCTTGAAAGTGTCTTCAAAAATATTCCATAGTTAACTATTTTTCGGCAGATCGTGTGCAGAATTTCGAACCCTTTTTTTTTTTTAAAACTGAATGTCATAGTTACTAAACTCTCATATGTCGAGGGTATCAAAAACAAACAAACAAACAAATTTAGTGCCTTTCGCTTCCTCAATTCGAATGGAGATTGGTGACTCATTGAAATGTTGATTGTTTACATCATTGTCGTTCCTCGTGTTATTGTGATACATGCAAACCCAAAGTGAACCCAACACCGTTGTTGTCATTGAGCCCATGTCAACGCTGCAATATTTTGCATTAGTTATTTAAGTATTGTGCGACGGTGTTGGAAACCGCATTTTAATAAACCCAACAATGAGCCCCACTTTGCTATTGTTGTTGTTGTCGTCGTTGTTGTTGTTGTAAGAGAATATGGTTGAGCATAATGCATACTGAATTCAGGGGATGCGTGGAATATAGCTTACAATTGCTATGTATATATTATTATCTCGGTAGAGAGCACACACTTTATAAAGAGATAAAACTGATCTCTTAAACTTAAATTTAAATTGATTGCTTCTATACTGAGATATTCTCAAACAATTTAGTTTGGATAGAATTGTAGTTATATAGGATATCGACTTACTTCGTCACCTGGCAAAGATATGTATGCAATATATTTATTATATTATCCTTTCCGGTGTATAGTATAGCATTTCATTATTTATCAATAAAATATACAATGAGCGTGTTTAAACATTCGATTTTAGTTTAAAGCTCAAATGTTGTTTATCTCATGATTGGGATTCATTCTTAAACTTTTCAAATGCGTAGTCTTCTATAGTTTAATTAATTTCATTTCATTTCCCGTTTATTCTTTGTGATTCAGCCTGTTTAAATTGTACGCAAAATCAGCGATTGCTCATCAATTTTACAAGTTTCATTGATAATATTCTCTCCCCTCTCCCAATGCTGTCTGTTAAATGATCTCAGATATGTGCTTACTTATTGTAAACAAAAATTGTTGCTCTACGTACGTGTTGTGCATATAAACGTCGATCTCCGGATAAATGTGAATAATAAATGTATATATATACATATAGACATATATATATATATATTGCTCTGATGTCATAGCGGCGCATTTAAGTGCACATACCGCATTTGTTTATTTTCATCTCTGAAAATGTTTTGCACTGCGGTCACATATTATTATCATTTGCGAGGCATTCGGAATTTCAATTAAATAGCACGACGTTCAGTTTTTACAATTGTTAGCCCAAAAAATGCGCTGCTCAGACTTGGAAATGCTAATTAACTCTGGAAGCCAATGACAGCCGTTGGCCGTTGGCCGTTGGCCAAGACAACCCCAAAACTACAGACAGACAGACAGACAGACAGACAGACGGACACGAAAAGAAATTGAAAGCGAAAGTTTATTGTTGACACTTCATGATTTTATTATTTAATCCGTATTAAAACCAACCGGTTTCCGACTGCAATATATCTTGCGTCTTGCGAATAATATTATTATTTCATTTTTATTTAAGCTCGTGTTAAATCGCAGTACCGCGAATGCTATAAATTTGTACAATTTTATACACTTATCGCTTGCTGAAAATAAAATCAATTCGTCAGAAAAACAATTGATTCTAAAAGAAACGAGAAATTAAGGATATCTTCCGCACGCCGAAGATTTATTACCCTTGTGAACAGCAACAGAAAGAAGGACCTACTCAAAGTTTAAAGACGAAAAATTTGGAGACTATGTTAATTCATAATTCATGGCTGTTGATGCTGATCTCTAGAATATATATACGTTAACGGGTCGTATATGTCTCCTTCTATGCATTACCCACATCATAACAAAATTATGATACCCTCTATAAAAACAAAAAAAAATGTTTATCTTCGACACGCCTTTCAGACTTATATCTTTCGGTTTTACAGATATGCGAGAAATTTGAAGTTATTAATTGCTGAGGTTGGTGAAGATATCTAAATAACAAAACATTTATCCATACAAAAACTCATTTTTTTGATGAATTCTCGAAAAATGAAAATATTGTCCATACCAGAACTCATTTAAGAACGATTCTTCCTATAAAGCGATATAATAGAGTTATCCGATTTGCATAAAATTTCGCTCATTTATAAGGCGCATTCCATAACTCCTAAATGCCAAGTTTGGTTAGATATTTAAACAAGAAGTAAATTTAAGACCAATCTAACATTTACATATAGATTATATCGTACTCCCAGTTGATACGGGCTTGTAGATATGTTAGGAGAATATTGGAACCCGTAAACAAACAAAAACAAATTGTTGACTTATAAGATTTGGCTCATATTCAGGAAGCATAATAAATACGAAGTTTGATCCAGATGAACTTGATTTTCGACTGATCGACTGATCCTACGGCAGCTAAAGTGGTTCGCTTAAAGGCTAAGAGACTAGTTTGCATAGAAGAAGAAGACTTTAAGACTTCAAAGGTTGCATATCGAGTTGCACCTATGTGGAAACGAGGGTATGGGAAATTACCTAATCAAGCACTGATTGAACTAAGCTATTGTTGCAAAGATTGACTCAGAACAGTCGTTTGTGCAATTTGCACAAATTACATAATCTGAATAGTATTATTGCATAATATTATTGTAAGTATGTTTACCTATTGGTTGATTGCTAATGTTGATATTTATGTGATTTGCATTAAACAAGTAGTCGAGTAGCTCGACTTGCAAATCCCCTGTTAATGTTGAATAACTTCTATGGAAATGGTATCCAAAAAGTGAAA